TCGCTCGCAGCAGGCGCTCCAACCGACTTTGTTGCTCAGCAAATCCACATCTCTGCGCAACACAGACCCGTGCCGCTGCTGCTCCCGCAACACAGGTTTTTCGGTTGCCTCAAATGGAAGAACTGCTTTTGAATCAGGTTAGTGACCGCACTCGTTTTGTCTCGTTTCGTTTTGCTTCGAATGTTTTTAGTTCAAGAAAAAGATCGAGTGCTGCGCACTCTGTTTTTCTTGTTAATGGACTTCTGAGAGCTGTAAAGCGCCACGGCCTCGCCTGTGCAAGGTTCGAGTTGAGAGTTCTCCCAGAAGGTACCTGTGCCTGAGAAAGCATCGACTTTGACCTGTTTGGACCAGATCCTGTTTGGTCGCAAGAGTCCGCCTGCAACTCAAAGGTGGAAGTGTTCTGGCTGCTGTGTCTGGGACGTGTTCGGCCACCAGTGCCGCCGACGTCCACTTTCGGTGCGAACCAACTGCAGCACACGCGGCTCCAAATGTGAGGTCGAACAAGCTTAGCAATTTTGGCTTCGCTTGAGTGGCCCCCCTCTGTTCTCTCATGTCTGTCACTTCCACGGGCAAGCTGTCTGTTGGAAATTCTTGTTGGAGAACGATTTTTCCACACTGGATGCCTGCCTGTGGGCGAGTCGCCTTGATGTAGCAGTGTGGAACGCACGGGCTTGGGCTTGGGCCCCAAAATGAGGAATTCGCGACCCCAAAATAGGGGCCGCCAAGCGGCCCCGATTTTGGGGTCCTCTGGTTGCCAGTCAAAATATGTTGAAGGAGGTTGACTGGATTTCGCGGCTCCTTTTCTGGGGCCGCGAGACGGCCCCATTTTTGGGGTCGCAAGTTTGATTCCTGCACCCACAGCGGCTGAATCTCGTCAGCTGCGCATGTCATTGATTGTATTGACTTTGGGGAGCGTCTGGTGGAGGACCGTTTGGAAGGTCGGAACTTGTCCAAAGCAGCTGTGTTGCTCGCCCTTAATAGTGCTGCAGCCAGCGGAATGCAACTGTGGAGGGCCGACCTCGCGAAGCCAGAATTGCTTGTGTTTTGCGGGCCTTAAAATGGGGTCGCCCGACAGCCCCATAACTGTGCAGCTTTGAGATCGTACAAAGACAGAGAATTTTTGCCAGAGGTGACTCTAGCATTTCTGAACAGAGCAGATCAAGCCATGCAGAGTTATGGTATCGAGAAGGTGGGCCGGAACAGATCATACAAGAGCGGCGGAATTTTCTGGAAGGTATCTCCACCAGATCTGAACAGGACTTCTTGAGCTGTGTAGAGTTATGGTATCGAGAGGTGTGGCTGACGGTTCGGAATTTGTGCACGGTGCTTAACTCCAAAACCCCTCATGCACGACATGGGCTCACCTGGCTCTCGCCAGATTTTTTTTGCTCTTTTAGCAGAGACCCATTTGCAACATTCTTTGCCTCTGCCTTGCTTCTGATTGCATTTGCTGTTGCTAGACCAGTGGTTGCGTTCCCTCAAAAGACCAAACTGCACTTTTCGCTGTTCTCGGAGATTGCACCTCTGCTTCAATTTCTTTTTGCTCTCTGAGTCAGTTCCATCGTCAAATCGGGTCTTTTTTGCTTCATGGTTGCGTGTGTCTTTGCGCAGGATGGTTGCATCCGCTGTCACAAACCAAAAAAAAAGATCGCTCGCAGCAGGCGCTCCAACCGACTTTGTTGCTCAGCAAATCCACATCTCTGCGCAACACAGACCCGTGCCGCTGCTGCTCCCGCAACACAGGTTTTTCGGTCTGCCTCAAATGGAAGAACTGCTTTTGAATCAGGTTAGTGACCGCACTCGTTTTGTCTCGTTTCGTTTTGCTTCGAATGTTTTTAGCTCAAGAAAAAGATCGAGTGCTGCGCACTCTGTTTTTCTTGTTAGTGGACTTCTGAGAGCTGTAAAGCGCCACGGCCTCGCCTGTGCAAGGTTCGAGTTGAGAGTTCTCCCAGAAGGTACCTGTGCCTGAGAAAGCATCGACTTTGACCTGTTTGGACCAGATCCTGTTTGGTCGCATGAGTCCGCCTGCAACTCAAAGGTGGAAGTGTTCTGGCTGCTGTGTCTGGGACGTGTTCGGCCACCAGTGCCGCCGACGTCCACTTTCGGTGCGCACCAACTGCAGCACACGCGGCTCCAAATGTGAGGTCGAACAAGCTCAGCAATTTTGGCTTCGCTTGAGTGGCCCCCCTCTGTAGGGACCGAGTGCTACAGCTGTAGTCGACGAGGCCCATTCACGCCAAAAAAAAAGGAAAATTACGGTCGTCACACGACCACTGGGTTTTTAACTCTCTGAAGCATGGTCTTGGCCTTAGCAATGCGCGTCCCGCCAACACCGACACAGGTGACGCGCACAGGCTCGGTTAAGGTAGCACAGGATTGCTTCACTATGCTGACTGGTGGAGGAAATCAACCGCAATAGCCGCAAGCGTATAAGGCAACCGGGGTGTGGACACACTTGCGGGCGCGATACGCGTCTCACTTCTTCTTCCATCAGAAGTGCGCGCATGCTCCTGCTCACACAGGGCTCGGATGCGCTCCAGTTAAGATACTCGTCCTATAGCGAGGTGAAGGACTTTCTCCGGAATGCGGTGATACGCACCGGCGATCCGCGACAGCCCACGGGAGGTGGCAAAGTGTGAAAAGTTTGCTCCTTTTAGGTTTGCCCTTGAGTACTGACATGTTTGTTTTGCGCATGAAAAAGGGTTTCATCCTTTTTGCCTTGAACTGTTTTGTTTTGGAAGCTTGAACAAGCATTTGCATGGCGAACACATGTTTTGGCATGTTTGCAGTTTTTGTGAAGAACATGATGAGCGCTTACAGCACTAGAAATGCTTTGGAGCATCCTTGAAGAAGTGCGTGTTGCTCAGTTGCTCTGACTGCACCTGCTGCTGTTTCCGCCGACCCTCGCTTCGCTCGTGCCGGTAGGAACAGGCCAAGGGACAGAGTGGCTGTGCAGTGCTGTTTGAGTGAGTACTGAAGTCCTGAGAAGTGTTAGGACAGTTGCATGTCATTCCTCCTTTGTTTAGCAAAGTTGAGACGGAATTTGCTGCGCGAGACTCCGCAAGAGACCTTGCTGAACACTTCGGTGTTTGGCTCAAGCGTGGAGTGAAAAAGGACTTGCTCTGCGTTTTTCACATGGTAGCGGAGCGCTGAGTGCGTTCCTAGTCCTAGTAAAGCCATGGCAGACGTTCCTGTGCCGGAGACCACTGCAGAAGAGGAGTTCGACCTGTTTGGTCCAGGACCAGTTTCGGCAGCGCCTGAAGCTGCTCAGCCGGAAGCGAATCCGTTCGTTCCTGTGCAAGGTCCGGCTCCTGCTCCTACGCCAGCGACCGCGCAGCCTTCTGTCCAGCTTCGGCGACGGGTTCGCCGACTGGCGCTCAAGCGCCTCCTGTGCAAAGTCCGAAGGCATCGGCTCCTCCAGTTCAAAGTCCGAAGGCTGCTGGTCCGAGCAGCTCGTCTACCGGACTCCCTGGTTTTGGAGCAGAGGCCATGCCTCAATTCATGATGGAAATGCTTCGTCAGCAGAGAGAGATGATGGCAATGAACCAGCAGCTTGTTGCTACGATGCTCCGGAGAATGGATCTGGAGGAAGAGAGAAGGAACAAAGCTGAGGAGAAGGTTCACGAGGCCGCTGAAGCTGCCAAGAAGGCAGCAGAGGCAGCTAAGACTCGGGACCCCTTCCAGCCGAGCACTGCTCCCGCGAGCAGTTCTGCCACGAGTCCGGCAGTTGCTCCTTCTACCTCTGGGTACTCTGGTGCTGGAGGTTCTAACCGTGCAGAGAAGTATTTGCCGAACCTTCCGGTTATAGACCATCAAGGCATGGGGAAAGGGCGCATGAAGGAGGTAGAGACTTGGCACTCCTTTATGGAGATGCTGAGTTCTTGGCTTGCACTTCAGGAGGAAGCGTTTGTTCGGGAACTGCAGCTCTGTATTCCTGTGAAGACAGAGATTTTGCAAGCTGACCTGAATCCCGAGACTGCAGCTCGGAGCTCGAAGTTGTTCTACTACTTGACGCAGTCCCTCGCCAACATTTTTATCCCTCGTGGTCGGCCAATGTGCTGGGTCGAAGGCCTAGCCTACCGCAACCGGACTCAGCAGGCAAACTCACTGGACGGGCGAGGATTTGCCATCTGCACATCAGGAACTGGCTGAGCAGATGGCCCTTGCCAGTCCAACGCGATCCCCGGCAGCCAGGCATCCCATCCGAACAGCACACCACTCACGCAACCCCAAGACAGGATTGGTGACGGCGATAGTTCAGGAGAGAGAAGGCGGATCGCTTGTTGCAGCAATTGTTGCATGTTTCATTTGAGGGAGTTGCCAACAACCTTAAAGGAAAAAAAAAAATATATATATATATATATATATATATATAGGAAGCCGGAGAGCAGCTGCAAGGCAGCCCAGCAGTTTGTCGTCAGCCGCACCAGGATGGGGCTTTAAGTGGGAAGAATCAAGGCTCAGAAGCACAGTATCAGCGGATTCCATTATTACACCGACAAAAAACTGGAACACCAGGGAGCATCTTGCGTCAACGAAGCAGCAGGAGTAGCTGCACTTCCATGTGGCGCGCATCATGTGGGGTAGACGTGAACAATTCCACCACCCACGCGACCCCATTTGGGACTGATGAGGGCGGAGTTCAAATAAAAGAACGTGGATCACGGGTTACATGTTCACAGAGTGTTAGCGGCTTCAGTTATTGCACCGAGAAACTATAGAGTTCCCAGAAGCACTTTGCCAATTAAGCGAAGCATCAGACGCTGTTGCAGGTCCAGGCGGCGCATATACGTCATGCGAGATGGTTATGCACTACTCATGCGGACAGGAGAGCAGGCATCAACCAGCTGAACGCTCTCTTATTTTCTCAAGAACCCCGGCGCTCAGGTGCCTCAAACCACACCCAGCAGAGCACGGAGTAGACAAGTGAGCGTAAACCTTCACGTCACCTTCAGCCAAAACCCCAAAAACCTCTCTCAGAAGACACAAGCCATTATAACTCAGAAGATCAACCTCCTTATAGTCACCCCAAAGTAGGCAATCTCGGAGACCTTCGAGCAGGCTTTGCACAACGCACTTCCTTCTTCACAACAAAGTTCAACCACTGCGTACTTAGCTTCACCACGAGCTAGCTTCAAAGCAGCGGCTTTCCAGGAAGGCGGGACAGTCGGAGTAAAACCTTCGATTTCATTGGGCTCTTCAAAAGACACGTGCACCCCAAGAGGCTCATTTTCCCAGACCCTGGGTTCATCTACAAGGCCGGAGGCATCGTGCAAACTAGCCAAACTCTCGTTGGTGGGACTTTTCGTGAGGGCGTCAGCAGGGTTTATGACCCCAGGTATATGTTCAATAGTAAATCGACCCCGTGCTACGAGCTCCTGCAGGAAGGCGGCACGCAGTTCAATGTGCCTCACTTTCCTCAAGAGGGTCTGCATCTTCGATATACAAACCGCCGACTCTGAATCGGAATATCCCCGAAGAACATAATACCCGGTTTCCCTGTCTTTCGGCATACCCTCGCGGATAGTCTCCACAAGCAAAGCAATGTACAATCCTTCACGAGCAACCTCTGTGAGTGCAGCAAGTTCCGCTTCCGCACTGGAAAGTGCGGTGGTCGTTTGTTTTCTGCTGAAGCTCTTAAGGGAGCAGTTCTCCCACGTAATGATCCCGCCGCTCACCGAATTCAAACTCCAGCTAGCGTCAGTAAAACAACATACAGAGGCAGGGTCCGCATCATCTTCCAAGATCTCCCTTTTACTTGGAAACATCTGGACCTTGTGCGGAAGACCCTTGACCCAACGAAGGACATCCCTCATACAGGTCTCGGCAGCCTCGTCAGGAGCTGCCTGGTGGCGGCCCAGAAACCCACACACAAACTGCAGGTCTGGTCGAGAAAGAGCCGCCCAGGCCAACCGGCCCAAAGTCCTCCTGTACCTTTCGTGAGCAGCTGGACTGATCAGCTCAGTCTGGCCTTTCTTCAGCAACTCAGCGTAGCGGCGTTCAAGGGAAGGGAGCTTTGGGGTCGGCTTGTTGATTCCGTACTCCTCGCAACAGGAACTCAGGTACTGTTCGTCTAGTCCGAAATACACCGACCGTTCCCCTTTCTTGCGGCGAAAGATCCGCCGGCCGAGAAACGAAACTTCCCCGGGGCAATCCTGAAGCAGCTCGCCCGTAAGTTTCAGTTTATATTTCTTACGCAGCTCCTCATAAAACCGGCGCCCTTCACCTTCATCTTCACTGTAGATAAGCAAGTCATCCACATAAAACAACACAAGCGTCAAACCCTTCTTCGTAAGACGACGAAATATAGTGGGGTCCAAACTTGCTTCGAAGTTCTGAGAGCGCAAGTATTCAGACAGCTCGCAATACCAAGATAATGGAGCAGAGCGCAATCCGTTCATCGCTTTTGGCAATTTGACGAAAACTCGTTCCCCAGTGCTCTGGGTGCTCACATTATTCGGCAACTCTACGAATTCTGCCCTCGCTACGGGAGCATGCATGAACGCTACCGAAACATCGCAGGATAACACACTGCCGCGTCGGCAGAGCATAGAAAGAAGCAATCTCAAACCCTCCAATGAAGTAGTAGGAGAATATATTCCCTCACTCAAGGTTGTGCCTCCCATGGAAGCATAATCCCGAACGACTAGCCTGGATCTCTACAGTCCCTTCTTTTTAACTGTGTTGACCCACCTGCTAGTCAAAACCCGCCTGCCGTTCTCCTTAGCAAGACGTCGAGCTTCGCGCTCAGGGATCACTTCTCCAACCTTGAAGGATTCCAATTCCTCCAACTCCAGCTTCATGGATGCGTAAAGAAGGTCGGGTTCTAGCTTCTCTCCCGAGGTTTCTGAAACAGCGTTCTGGGGGACGGAACACCTGATCTTGGTACCCCCAAACTTCAAATCAAACGACTTTGCAACTGCAGTGGAGGTGGCTCGCAGGTCAGGTCCTCGAAACAGGGACTCAAGATAGTGATTCGTGAGCCAGTCTATTTCCATATCCCCCTCATCGTTCACAAGCTCTTGGTTTTCAGGCGGAGCCTCTCAAGGAGAATAATCAGCAAGCTCATCTTCAATCATCTCTTCATCACCATCTTCATCAACACCAACCCCAGCCCCCTCATCAGGAGCATCATCACCAGGGGCCTCCAAAGGATCATCAAACAAGATGGGCCTCTCGGGGTCCTGCGTATCCTGCAGAAGAGGCTTAGCTAAAGATAGCTCTTCCAGGGTCTTGGCATCGTAGATGTCACCTCCCTGAATCATTCTGGCGACGGGGAATACTTCGATTTCCCTGCTTCCAACAGCCCGGCGACGGCAAACCTCTTAAACGCACGGCTCGAAGCACGTGCTCAACTGGTTCCGTCTTCTTTGCTGGGGCCGGTTCATCATCTCCACAACGCATCCTGCCAAACATGCCAAAACATGCACACTTCAAGCTTTCAAAGACATGCTTGCAAACGCGTTCCCCAAAACACTTTACCTCACGATTAAAAAGAAGTTTCCTACTCACTTCAACACGAACCCAGCGGTCACGCAGCCGGATCCTCAAGTAACTCCCACGTCTCCGAGGAAAAACCTTGAAGCACTTCCGGGACCTCCTTCCTGAAACCACCTTTCGGAACAACCAAAGTAACCCTGAAGAAACCCACAAAACTATACCACAAAAGAGGCTGTAGACCGTCAGGAGGAGCACGATGATACCAAGATCCAGTCCTGGCGTGAAACCATTCCTGAACGCGGCTGTGGTTTTAAAGGTGCGGGTTCTTTTGGTAAGAGGGTTCGAGGCACTATGGGCTGGTTTTCGAGCAACCGCAACATGCCACAAATCATGCCAAAACTCATGTCGCAAAACATGCTGCTGCAAAACATGCTGTTGCAAAACATGCTGTTGCAAAACATGCACGCAAAGAGAAACTTTTGAACTCCATCCCCTCGTTGCAGCAAGCTGCGTCGAACACTCTTCCTCAGGACTTTTAAAAGGCCGCATCTCTAAAAACTCGCGCGGGATGGCCGCGGCAAAACCATCTCCAAAATCTACTCCAAAGGCGGCTCTTCCAAAAGCCGTTGCCCTTCTTCGATCACCTGGCATGCTTGGGAGGCGACTTCGGAAAACTGAGCCCCCTCTGCAGTAGCCTCGTAGGAGTGCTCCACAGGAGCGGTCGGAGAGCTCAAAGTAAAAGCCCTTTCCTTCGAGGTTTGCCCCGTTGCAACGGGAGCCGCCGCACTTGGAACCTCCTTGGCACGAGGCGGTGTGGGTAGCCTCGATCGAGGTGGGACGGCTGGCGGCGTTGGCACCCCAAGCTCCTTTAAGATCTCTGCATTCTTTGCAAGGTTCACCGGCGGCGGCACCATTGGCAAATGAAAATGATTTGCCACTAGCTGCCCTGGCGCCAAAGAACTCGAGGATGCCGCGCCGGGGCTCTTCGGAGCTGGACCTCCTTCCCCCGCAGGAGCGGGGACGTAGTTGGCCATCCCGGCCAAACTGAACCCGACCATACTCTCCATAGTGGCCCAAACCTGGCGATCGAAGGATTCTTTGGTCCCTTTGACCCTTCCAAGGGCCTCCAACTCTCCACGTTGCAGCTCCAGTTCTTCGCTCGATGAAGATGCCGAGGAGCTCGGCAACTTTGGCGGACCAGGCGCCACCTTCGGCTGAGAGGACCGAATAGCAGCCCGCATCTCGGCACGAGAGGCTTTCTCCTCTTGCTTCCGATGCACCTCGCTCATGTGCTTGTAGAGCGCTGCTTCCAAAACCTTCCAAGCACAAGAAACCTCCAAGGGAAACACTCCTCGAGGGCACTCCAGGCAGCGAGGCTCCAGACCTCCTACCAAACCCTGATATCACTCCGGGGTTCGCCTGTACGTAATGTAGCAATTCTGGGCATACAAGATGTACTGGGTCATAGCCACGGGATCGGCCTGAGCATGCCTGCTCTTCCAAGCAGCTTTGGCCGAACGAGGTGGCGGAGGATGCTGATCGAGGAGCTCCAACGCAAACTTGAGGTCCCGGCCACACAGCCCAAACTCCTCCAAAGACTTCCCCTGCAATGTTCGATCCAGCCACCTTTCCCAATCGTCCAATCCACTTTGCGTCTGGACCGACGCATCGACCATCAAAGGCCGAACAGCCTCCTTCTCTGGGTACCTGGCCGTCGAAACCTGCCGGATAACCGGCGTAGGAGGCTCCCATTCGGAAGGGGCTGCAAGACCCGGCGTCCCAATCGGCCCGGCTCCAATATCCACCGCTGGGTCGCCCAGCGCCCGGACCACATGTCCTGGAACCGTCACCGCGGCACTGATCGAATCCCACATGGAACTCACAGGAGGAACACCGAGAACATGACTCAAAAGAGGAAGGGGCTCCGATGGATCCACACGTGGACTGATAAAACCTGCGGCCGCAGACTCTCGCCAGCGCCGCTCGGCTTCGAAACGCAGGCTCCGAATGATGAGCTGCTCTTCGTTCGTCGGTCCACCCACCGGCGGGCGCAACGACCCTCCTGCAACATTGCTCGGAAGCCCAACTTTGGGAACAGAGCCAACATCCGTAGATCCACGCTGCCTCTTCGGACCCCAATGAGGTCCCCAATCCTCGTCGGAGTCGGATTGGATCGGAACCGCTGGGATAGGAACTATTGGCACCAATTCCCCAAGGGGTAGAAGGAGCAACTTCCGGAATCGTGCCCGAACTGCTCGTGATCCTCGCCGGGGAAGGAGATGCTGGAATCGGGGATTCCTCTGGCAAGCTGTAGTTTGCACTGGGAAGCGAAGGCGACCTCGGCCTCGGCCCCGGGCTCACAGCCGGATCGTCCTCTACAATGGGGATATCGGGTGCCCCATCCGGGAAGATCGGAACCACCGGCGGTGGTTCCTCCACACTTGGAGTAAACTCGTCCCCGCTGGTACCCTCCATAATTGCAAAAGCACAAAGGGGCTGCGGAAACATGCACAACACAAGCTTCAAGCAAGGACATGCCAACGAACATGCCCACATGCGGTTGCAAAATCATGGCAAAACATGACAAAAACATGCCAAGCACCATGCCAACATGCGACTGCTTCCTAGGTTCATGCAACTGTTTCCTAGGCTCACGCAACTGCTTCCTAGGCTCACGCAACTGCTTCCTAGGCTCACAATGCTCTTCAGCGAAATCTTTCTCAAAAACCTCAAGCTCACGAAGGTCTTCAAAAGAACCTACCTCCATGGTCTCAGAGCGAAGACCCCGAAGCAGAAACCCAAGAGGACTGGCAGCCAAAGCGTGGCGGCCAGACTCGGCTTCTTCATGAGCCTTGCTTCCTTTCTTCAAAATTCCTTCTCCAGGCTTCTGGGGTCCTCTGGTGGACTCTCGGCTGGATCCTAGCAGGTCGCGGTCCTTCAAGGCATCTATCTCCATGTCCTCAATCCCTTTCGGGGGGCGTCTGGAAGAATTCTCCTTCCCCCGGCCCTTGGACCTCCCGCTAAGAGCCCACCAGGCGCGAGAAGCGCCCATCAACTTGATGCTCTTCTTTCCGTTTCCTTTGTACAATCGTGATCCCGACTTGGCTAGATAGGTTTTCCAGCCCCGTTCCGAGCCGGTCCAAGGCGAAACAACGTTGAACCCAACATCCGCCACCAAAACCTCTTCCAACCACAGGAAAACATCCCCGAAATGAACCTAAGGTCGACAACCCCCGAAACGACGATCGCACCCCCTGAGGCGTTGAACAGATTGGCCGTTCTGTCATACTTCTTCACAACACGAAATCCTGAGAGGTGCTTGTCCGAAACAATGTGGCAAGTGGCTCCACTATCAACTAGCCACAGGTCCCCGGGAGTAGTATCGAGGGCCTTGCAGACATGAGCTACGTCGCCGTGCTTCAACACACGGGATCCTAAGGAGCCCATAGACTCGGAACCTCGACTCTCAGGCCCAGGCGACCCTTCGGGTCCCGAACCCGGCTTCGGAACTACAGGCGGGGAAGGCTCAGGCTTCTCAGGCTGGCTCAGAACACGACCTTGGGAAGAAGAGGGCTCAACAGAGCCTCGACCCGGACAGGAAAACCTCAGCCATCACTGTGGCGCTTCCTCCCGACTCTGCCTCTGACTCGGGCTCTGTCAAGGAGCGTCCCTTTCCAGGCTGTCCCTTCTTCTTCTTTCCCTTCTTGCCTTTGTCTTTGCCCTTGTCGCCTTTGCCTTTGTCGCCCTTGCCCTTCTCGGAACCACGGGGCGTGCCAGCTCCCTTCGGAGTCTGGTCGCCGTTCCCTTTGCCTTTGGGCTTTCCTTTGTCTCCTTTCCCTTTGCCCTTTGGAGCACCACCACGCTCGTCTCTCTCACGCTGCCAGCACTTGTCGGCAGTGTGTCCCTTCTTTCCACAGTAGTCGCAAAGCTTCTCCTGCAAGGCTCGGCCTGAAGACCCAGGGGCCTCACACAGTCGCAGCTGCTCCTCGTAGTAGGTGAGCGTCTTCCGAAGGGCCTCCCAGTTGGAACTGGAGCCGTGCAGCACCACGTACTGCCGCACTTCGGCGCTCAAACTCTGCAAAAGAACGGAGCAGCGGTCAGCCTCAGAAAGCTTCAGTTCTGGAAAGTTGCTCAGCTAGCGCCTCCGACTTGGAAAACGAATCCTCCAGATGTCGAATCAAATCGGTGGGTCTCCTAAGGTGTCCCACATGCTGATACAACTTCAAAGCCTGTTCTCGCACGAAGACAGCTTCCATCCGGGAGACGATGCTGTACTGAGAGGTGATCGTTCTAACCACCTCGTAGCCACAAGCGCTCTGTGCTTGCCTCTTCGAGCAGGACTTCAAGAGCTCGATTCCCCGCTCCCACTTGGATGTGGTTTTGTAGTGCAAGGTGGTCAGGTGGCCGCGCAGTCAATGAGGCGGTTTCCTTGTTCCGTCTGGTGATCTGACACTTGAGGTTTTACCTGTGTGCCATAGACCACCTGTTTATTCAAGCAGGGATAACTTGCTCAAAGCGTCGGCCCTATTCAAAGGGGGCTGCAGGTTTTGTGGGTCTCCGACCAGGAACCCATCAGGCGTTTCTTGCCATGGCCTGCAACCTGGGCCTCCCATGTTACTGAATAGCCGCAAGTTGTGGTGACTCTTCGCATCGCATCGGCCTCCCCAGAATCGACAGGCTGGCCACATGCCGCCATTACCAGGCTTGCCTCCTGTTACTTGGTTGTTGGAAGGGTGATCAGGACCTGAATGCCACAGCCCTCTGCTTATCTAAGCAGGCGTAACCTGCTCTGATGCGGGCTCGAACCATAGGGGGCTGCAGGTCCACAAAGCACTGATGCGGTCTCCGTCCTGGAGCCAATGCCTGGACACTGTCCACTCAACAATTTTGGGCTCTGTGCTTGTATAGCAGCATTCGAGCCTGGCCTTGGGCTCCCGCCCTTCCAGGATCTCCCTGCCTCTCTGTACAGACTTGGCAGGGGTGGTGGTAGGTTCCTTGCAGTATTGGTTGGGAGTGCCTAGCAGAGGGTTTCCGGGCGGTATCAATGCCGAGCCCTTGGCCTCTGGCCGATGGTGCCTTCTTGCTTGGTGGCGGCCATCTGTTATCGTTTCTGCCCTGGTAAGGTGCGCCCAGTGCTGTTGCGGCATGGGTGCATGGCGAGGTTAGTAAGAGCGAGAAAGCCGAGCCACGTTGGCAGGTGTTTGTGTTATCCTGCTGTACATGCGAGATTTTTTGCAGTCCATGGAAACCTTTTTTGAGTCGCTTCTTTTTCTTGGTTTACAGGAAAGAGTTTTCATTCTTTTGTCATGCAGGGGGCGTGGCGGTCACATCCTAGCCACGCCAACGAAGCTATGGATGTTGACTGGATGGGTTCACAGACGTGTGAGCCTGTACCTGCAAAAAAGCTGGGCCCCTGAGCCAGCGAGATTAGCAAAAAAGTTTCTTTCGAACAAGGCAGGTTTGCAGGTTTGAACATGTCTTTCGCTTGTTTTGAAGCTTTGTACGGATGCTGCAATCTGTTTGAGCATGTCCATGAGAGTATCTGCATTGGACGATCAGAACATCCAGAAGGCGGGGTCTGTAGGAGCCATTACAGTTGTGTTCGACAAGAGCTCCCTCATGAGGGCCTTGTCGCTTTTCGGCGAAGTTGCCGGCCCACCGGGGTGCTTGTGTTAGCAGATCCGGAAATCAGGTAGGGTGGCGACGGCTTTTGCTGCGCAAACATGTTCAAGGGGAAATCACTGAGCGGAGATCAGCTGTCTGGAAATCAAGTGGAGATCAGAGTGGAGATCATAGTGGAAATCACTTGTACAGAACTGCCATGGATCGTGATCGAACCCCTCGTCGCAATCCCTACTGGAGCTCCTCCAGTGCAGATGCTGTCCCTCCACCTCCAGCGAGTTGGCAAAACCCAGCCCCACCTCCGGTCCCACCCATGTCCCGCCCGATGGTGCTCCAACCGCAGAATCTTACATGGCAGCCCAATCCCCGTGTGGCCCAGATGATGAACGTCTCGCCACCCCCTCGCATTCCAGGTCTGCCATCCCAACCTGATGCCAAGTCACCCAAAGTCTTTGGACCGTTGCTACCTGCTGAGTTCTGTCAGAATCCGAACTATTTGGATTCCCGATCTATCGCTGGCTTGAACCTAGCTCGCTGGGTTAAGAAGACTGAGTGGTCAGTTCGAAAGCAGATTGACGGTTGTCCGACACACATGGTGCCGCTTCACTCATTGCTTTATCAAGGTTGGAATTCATATTGGATCCGTCACATTGCTGAAGGAAAGCCGACTTTCTTTGCAGGATTCAAATCGATCGGTGAGATTGTATTCTGTCACGCATTGTTCGGAAAGTTGCGAGATGAGGAAGTCGACTTGGACGAGCTTGCATCTATTGTATTGGGTTCCAGTGATCCATCCACGAAGAGTGTTGCTTCCGATTCCAAAGCTCAGGCCACAAATTTGCTGGCACAGAAGGTTGTCGACTACATGATAGGTTTGTATCCTCAGGCCTCAGTTGATACCGAGAAGGCAGCCATGGCCAATCAGATCCAGATGCTTCAACAGCAACTTGCGAACTTCAAGAATGCTTCCCCCTCCCGCCCCACCAACCAGGCCGCCACGGATCAAAAAAGGTTGCCGATTGAGGAAAGCCCACCCGGAGCGATTGCAGCCCCAGAGTCAACAGCCTCTGTTCAAAAAGTCCCTGATGGTACGAATCGTCTTTGTCGATTTCAGACGGCTGAGCCAAAAAGCAGCCTTATGCAAGCCTTTCAGAAAGGCAAACCATCAGGCAGCCAACCTGAACCTGTGCATATTGAGAATGAGGAGGTCGGCACACAAGGTCGCAGTCCAGGAAGTGTTCAGCCTGAGTACGGCACATCCTCGCATGTCAATCAAGTTGTGAAGAGTGTCCTTTCGGATGCGTCCAAACGTCATTTCCTGACACGAGGTTGGAAGACTTGCAAGTCGGATAGGGAAGTCACAACATGGATTGAAGGACTGACGTTGAGCAAAAACAATCGCAAGAAGCTAGAGACTTGGACAGCTCATGTCCAACGATGGCATGCGGATCTTCCTTCCAATGAGCAGGCAGAGTTGGATCAGGTTGTGGCCAACTGGGGCATTCCCATTCGTGATGTTGCCAAGTTGAAAAGTTGAAAGCAGGATCACTGCTGCGAATTTTAGCTGTCGGCACAATCTAGTGGCTTGACTACAAGCCACATTGGATGACAAAGATCGCTATAGTAGCAGCAGGCCGCCACAAGGATGGTGGCGAAAGCACCGAAGTGACGTGGACTTGCTTCGGAATGCTCATCTCTTTTTCCAGAGTGTCTACGAGACACCCACCATGTTCGGACAACAATGGAGGGACATTGTTATTTGGGTTCGTGGAAAGCTTCTATTATTGGCTTGTGAGTTCGGGCTTGTACAGTTGCCGTTGACCTCTCAGCTTCGTTTAAAATGCTCCAGTTACACCTGGAAATTCTTCCAGACCAAGTCGGTGATTTATTGCGTATTTTTCTCCAACCAGAGTTGCAGCAATTCATGTACATTGGATCTACATCTCAGACATTGGGCGAGCGTGAACGCACTCGATGGGCGAAGTACAAACAAATTTGTTCTGGCAAGTCAGTCTGCGGCGAGCTTTCGCTCTTCTGGCACTATCGACGAAGGAATTATCACGTGGCTATTCCGTTGATGATCATGCATGTGCCCCAGGGTGACTGCTTGCATACAATTGAGCAGACGTTCATCAATCTGTTGCAGCCGCGTCTCAATGCTCCCTGGGTTCGGTCGTTGCCAATTCTGATCCGGTCAGATGTGTTCGTAGATATGTGACATCATGGAGAATGTTCAAAAGGTTTCGACGTCGGAACCTCCGGCTTACTGGGCTCACGCCATCTGTCTTCCGATCTACACACATAATCCAGAACATTGTTTACAGCTACCAGATTCTGTTTGACCTGGCATCGGACGGTCTGAAATCCTTTCTTGCTCAAAAGTACCTTCGCAGCAACAGAGTTGACTCGGATGTTCTCTACAGATTGTTTCGCATGGCCGCTCACTTGGGAGATCCTTTCTACGAGACGATTTGCAGGTCTAGACTGAACACTGTATTGCAGTTCAGACAGTTGAGGTGCCCGACCACATGTCGTCCTCTGTCTACTCCTTTTCTGCTACCTGAAGCAGGCTTTAAGCGATCAGTGCGTGGCCTGTTGGCTGATATCTTGGAAGCCTCGTCTGACAGATTGTTGCGATACCACATCCCATCGACTGCGCTTGTTGCCAGAAGTCACCCCAAGATCAAGGATGTTCTGTTTTCGCACAAAAGAATCCTACAGCTGTGGGACCCGCACGAAGACCCGCACAAGGCAGGGGTTGTCTGCTGTTGTTCTGATCTTCTTCGATGCCACCCTCGCTTGACAGTGGTTCAGGGTCACATTGCATCTTCAGCCACATTGCTGTCTTTACCGGATGAACTTGCTCAGTTGGCCCAGTCGAGTTGTGCCAATCCGGTGTTTATGACCGCCACGGATCATTGGAAGATGTTTCATGATGATGTGAAGCAGTGGATAAACCACCATGGTTTGGTACATTACCCAATGCAGGACATTCGATGTGCTTGGCAGAAGGCTTGGGATTCACACTTGCGACATGTTGGCTCCCATTGGACGGTTGACTTGGTTCATGAGCTGAAAAAACGGACCAATGGTCTTGTGTGGCATGTTCGCGACCATGAAGGTTTTCATGCTCATGTCTTCTGTCCTGTGAAGTATTGGATGATGCTTCAGAACACCTTCACTGCTGAATCGATCTTTCAGCCATTATCGTTAAATTCATCTGCGATATTAGCTCAGATGGAGCAAGTAGTACCGCCGAGGATTCTTGAAGCCTTTCCTTTTCGCTTTGGTTCTCGTGGAGCCCGTGTGTCATGGGCTTATATTCTCCCCAAGTTCAAGAATGAATGGAAAGCGGGGAGGCCAATCAATCGTGAGTTTTGCATCTCACCCGGCTCGTCAATTCTTGGTTGTGATGGCCAAGGTTACAGAGATGCTTGTGGCTGAGGTTTGTCCTCACACTCGATCCTACAACGATGCAATCTTGCTATGGCAGAATATACATGCCTTCTTTGAGAACAGTCATCATGACCTCACAGGCAGTGCCTAAAAAATCTCCATGCACAGTCAAGATCTATCTGGCTTCTTTGTGAGCATTCCGAGGGAACGGTTTCTGATCACCTTTCGTATCTTGTTATGTCGCCCCTATAATGTTCCGGATGAGGATCTTGAAGCGGCTTTAAAGGGCATTGTTGTCACTGTGGACCTGGAAAACGACCTCTCTGTTATGAAGACTATCCGTGGTCGACATTGCTTATTGCATGATAAGAAGGCGGCCGTCCCCATGGATTTATTCCTTGAGGCTGTACAAGTGTCGTTCAAGTTCAACTTATTTGTGGTTGGTCATCAGGCTATTCAACAAATTAGAGGTGCGCCGATGGGAAGCCACTTCTCTCCCGCAGCTTGCCACGCAGTGGTGAGCTTGTATGAACATATGTATTTCGGCAAATGCCTCTTGGAATCTGCTCGCCTACCAACGTATGGTCTTGTGGTCAGGTACGTGGACAATCGGTTGAGCTTGATCTTCGATCGAAATGCTAGTTCTTTGAATGTGCAGGCCTTTCTACATCAAGATGTATATATTCCACCAATTGTGCTGGAGTATGAAGACGGAGACCTCTTCTTGGGTTTCCATGTGGATATTCAACACCTGGGAGTGAAGTATGTTCAACCCACTGAATCCTGGAAGTTTCTGCATTTCAAATCCGCGGCCAACAAGGACGTTGTTGAGCAGCTTCAGATCCAGAGCCCATCTGATTTCTCGTGCCTCCTGGCCGATTGAACAACGTGAAGCTGACCTTGATCAACTTTTGCAATCATACTTGAAGCATGGATTTGATCCATCATTGATGTCGCCCATCTTGAGACATGTTAGATGCCAGTTTAACAATCGTGCTCGTTCGAATGCTGCATAAATGGGCTCCTGCACTTTCGACTGATGAGCCTGCCGGTTGTCAATGTGTTTGCTTTCATTATGCATTTCTGATAAGCTCACGAGCGGTTCAAGCTTCACAGGTCACTCCCTCCTCTTTCCTTGAAGCCATGTCGGGTCAGGGAGACCAGCTGGACAAAATGTCCACTTTGCTGGCAGAAGTGGCTGCTCAGCTAGAACAAGTGAAGCTGCAAGGAGCACGGTGTGAAGAGCAGCATCAAGACCTTACTGAACGCATGAGTCAGTTGGAAGCCCGCATGGATGCCCCACAGTCTTCGGCTGCTGTGCTAATTCCGACTCAGCTGCAGCCACAGTCCTTCACAGTTCCGCTAGCCCAGGGGGTAGACCTCAACGCCCCGGCAACAGTCGGGCAGTGCATGGAGTTAGTGCAGATGGCGATGCAGCAGAAGGTCGCCCCAGCTCTCGGAGCAGTATACTCGTCCCTGTCCACCTCACAGGTGAGGACGAACGAGCGAGTGGGCAACTTGGAGCAGCAGGTCCGGGCCCTTCGCATCCGCACCGCATGGGCTGAGAAGGACATGCTCTTTTCACAGATCGAGCAGGCCAAGCGCACCATCGTATGCCGAAATTTCCCTACCTGGCAGACGGAGGCGGACCGCCGCCTCACAGTGGAAAAGGCCCTTGCGAAAGCTGGGCTGTGGAATATCGATGGCATGTGGGACCTGGCCACAACTCGGCTGGATACGGGCACGCCCGGTAAGCCGGAGCTCTCTGCCACGTCCATCCTCACAGTCCCTTCCCTCACGGTCCGGAAGAGGATCCTGGAGGTATCGGACAGGGTGTACCCTTGGTACTTCCACCAGGAAAAGCCTGGGACAGGGGAAGAACCCAAGGAGCCCGAAGATGCACAGGACGGCTCCGAAGGAACGGCCGAGAAGACCCCGGCGGAATCCTCACAGGCAGCCGGGTCAAAAGAGCCAGCCAAGACCTATGAGTACAAGGGCGGCGGTCCTGTAAAGCTCTCCCCTGGAGTCACACAGTTTGAACGCAGGCTTGCTTCGCCGCTCCAGGGACTCATGAACGCTTACAGGGCGGCCTTCAGCAAGTTCACCAAAGAGCCACTGGTTCCGAGGTGGAAGACGCTGGCCCTGGTTGACTCCAAAGAGGCTTGGCTGGGCCGTATCGTGTACCGCCGCGGGGGTCCTTCACAGACGACCTCCACAGGTACCCTCACAGACTGGGAGTGCGAGATCCACATCCCAGAGGAGCATGCCACAAAGCTCTTGGAGACCTGGCGAAGCATCTGGTATGACCAATTGCGACAGCAGGTCAACCAGACAACGCCAGACGGCTGTCGAGCAGGAAGCCTTCGACAGCGCAGCTCGCCTCACAGCACACAATTATGCTGAGGCCAAGCGGCTTAGCAGGTTCCTGACCAAGGCCATTCCGGAGTACAACGAGGGCGAGGATGAAGGTCTCGACCACTGGATCGCCCGGTTCCGGTATGAGTTCCCGTGGCCGGTGAAGTTTGTCCAAGTCCCCGCCGACGCCGACGAGAGGACCCACTTCACAGGCCTTCGGTCCACCGAGTCGACGTGGCCTCCCAAATGAAGCGCACTCACAGCGATGCAGTCTCAGCGGTCAGTGGCATCAGCCCGAGCACCGCGATGCCTCCTCCACAGCCGACCAAGGCCAGGCCGAGTTACTACCCGTTCAGCTCACAGGCCGAGCTGGAGACAGCGGTTGAGGAGGCAAAGATCGCCCACATCAACCACGGTGGGGTCCCAACCGACTACCCACAGGAGGCCTGGGAGTCCTGGTGCATCAAGCGCCGCTCGACTGGCTCACAGTGACGGTTCGGCAAGCGCGCCCTCTCTTCCTTGCAATCTTCCGCAGCAGCCGTGCGACCGCATTTTTCACAGACTGCTGCCTCTTGTACCATAGCAGACCCAGACCGTACCACACAGCTGGGCAAAAACAAGTTGAACCGTTCTGGCACGCCACCTAAAGGCGAGCTGGGTGCGCCGAGCCACTATTGTAACTCTAGTCCATCTATACCTCACAGTTTCGCTTTTCCAGGTTGCTCTGAGAGTTGTTCTAGTGTGCCTTTCGGCGACGAAGTGCCCCACAGACCCCACACCACTTCCCGGACACCCCCCTCCTCACAGACCCGAGCACAGTACCACCGCCACCTCAGGTCACAAACAGCACGGCAGCGGCGAGCACGCCGCCGCATCACCACCAGATCTCGCAGCAGGCGGGAATACAGAGCTTGGAGGCATGCTCTATCCACCTCTCCAACCCCTAGTTGTGGTTTGGGCTCCAGAGCTAGGATCAACATCCAAAAGCCTTCATACGGCCCCACGCCGACTTGCCCGGACGGCTTACAGCCTGTTTCCACCAGGGCTTCCCTTAAGGGCCGAAGCCCGCAGTTTCGCTCTTGCAGATGTTTCCACCGCCTTTTGGGGCCAAAGCTCCAGATATGAGAGTGAAGAAACACCCCCCGCAGAACCGCTCCACCCCCAACCATTTGAGGCTTCGAACACCGGAGCCTGCCACCCCACCAATTGGCCATTTTGGCCCACCGGCCTCCCCGACGGAAGGCTCCTCCACCACGGTCCCCCTCACAGCGGACACCCTCCCCCACTCTCTCCCCTCTCCGCCCAACCCCACCCCCCCCTCACAGCCTCAGCTGAGCAGCGGCCGCGACTCCTGGGAAGAGGCCCACGATGTCCAGAACAAGCAGCACACCAGAGCGCACTGGTTCAAGACTCAGTGCCGCAGCCCTCAAGAACACGGCAGACAGAGGCACTCCACACAGTTGCGCTCCAAAGGGCAACTGAAGGGCGGGTTCTGGAACACCACGGGCCATCTGGAAGCCGGCAAGCTTCACACCTTGATCAAGATCATGCAGAAGCACGGCCTAGACTGGCTGGCCCTCACAGAGACCCACGTGAAACAACAGGACCGCTTCATGATCGATGGGTACACCGTCACACACAGCGCCGATGACAAGTTGGATGCAAAGGGCAACCCGGTACAGACCTTCACGGGGGTGTCCTTGATCACCTCCCCGCGGCTCACACCTTGCATCCTGGACATCGTTGCCACCGACGGTCGTTTCCTCTCCTTCAAGATAGACACAGCCGAAGCCCCTCTCACAGTTCAGGTGGTGTACGCTCCTCACAACCAACGTGAGCAGCCAGTCCGTGATTCCTTCTGGCAGTCACTAGGGGACATCCTTCACAGTCACCCCGCCAGCGAACCCCTTTTACTGGTAGGCGACTTCAATGCGCAGCTGCTCGACGAACTTTCGTCCAATCGCGGCAGTGTCGGGCCACACGCCCACTTTGGAGCGAATGTGGCAGATGAGACCTTAGCCTCACAGGCTGGCGAGGATGATTCTTTATCCAACCACGCGCAGCTGTTCGAGATGTCGGTCAGTCACGACCTGTGTTTCCCTCAGACGTGGATGGACAAAGCCGAGAAACACCGGATGACACACCAGCGTCCGAATGGTGATCCAGTTCAGCTGGACCATGCCATCACCAAGTTCGCCTGGAAGAATATGGTCACTGACGTGCACACCCTCCCGAACGCTGCCCTCAACAGCAACCACTTTCTCACCAGAGTCACGCTCTCCTTACACACAGCTTGCCACAAGAGAGCAACACCCACCCCCAAGCCGACCAGACGCCCAGACGCAGAGTCCATTCTCTCTTTCAACAAACACTTCACAGAAACCCTTCAGCATCAGCCAGCCTTCGAGGAGCCTGCCCCACCCGAGGCCGAAGCGGAGGATGCCTCCCCCCAGCCTTCACAGTCGAACACCGACCAGCAGAGGCTGGACCAGCAATGGCAATCGATCAAGGACTCCATTTTGCAGTCCATGGAGAAGCATATCCCCACACAGGACAGCAAACCTAAGCACCCTTGGATTAGCCAGCAGACGTGGGAGCTCATAGAACAACGCACAGCCGCTCGCCAGAGCCAGGATTCGGACACTGAGCGCGCATTACACAAGACCATCCGCTCACAGGCCCGCAAGGACAAGCAGCAATGGCTCAAGGATCGCCTTCAGGAGAGCGAAGAGACAATGGACGCTCGGGACAAGTGGCGTTGGATCAAGCGCATCCGCTCGGATTACAGGCCCCGCACGGTCACCTTGCACGACTCCAACGGCAAGCCTACCAGCTACAGCAAGCAGGCCGACACCTTTGCAAAACACCTGTCGGAAGTTCAGTGGGCCCCACCAACCACAGACTACACAGGTCCCACCCACCCACTAACGGACGCAAGTCCAGTCAACATGGAACCCATCACGATGGAGGAGCTCAACGCCACCCTTAAAGGCATGGCCTCACACAAAGCTCCAGGCCCTGACCAAATTCCGGCAGAGGCTTTAAAGTGGCTCACACCAGCCAATCGGCAGCCGCTACTTGACCTCTTCAACGACGCACTGCTCACAGGTCTTGTACCGGAAGAATGGTCAACAGCTGTCGTGGCCGAGATCCACAAGCGCGGCACAATGGCGGACCCCAACAATTACCGCCCCATCGCCCTCCTCAGCACCTCCTACAAGCTCTTCGCCAGACTTCTCCAGAAACGCCTGGAGCAGGCGATAGATCACAAGCTGCGACCCACACAGTATGGGTTCAGAGCCACCAGATCGACCTCACAGGCGATTCATGTGGCAAGGAGGCTTCTGGAGCGAGCCGAACGCTGCGGCTCAACCCTGTACGTGCAGCTTCTTGACTGGAGCCAGGCATTTGACAAAGTTCACCCGCAAGCAGTTACGGTGGCACTTGAACGCCACGGGGTGACGCCGTCGTTTGTCAATCTGATTGGATCGATATACACCAACCCCTCCTTCACAGTCAAAGCAGCAGGACAACAGAGCCAGCAGTCCCTTGCAAGCTCGGGCATTCGCCAAGGCTGTCCGCTTTCTCCTTACCTTTTCTTGGTGGTTCACAGCATGATCATGGCGGATGTCGACGCGGAGCTGCAGAAGCACGGCCAGATGCTTCCGTGGCTTTTCAGCCAGAACCAACCTTTCTACGACCTCGCTTACGCAGACGACATGGCCGTCTTCACAGGTACTGCTGAAAGGGGCCAGCAGATTCTGCACAAGATTCAAGAAGTTGCTGGCTACAGCAACCTCTCGTTGAATCTTAAAAAGTGCGAATTGCTGCGCTCACAGCTGGCCGTCAATCACATACACTTCCTCACAGGTGAACCAATGAAGGAAGTCACACAGGCCAAGTACCTCGGCGTGGTGCTTAGCCAGGACTCGTCCAGCAAGGCGGATATCACCGCAAGATTGGGGAAAGCTCGGAAGCACTTCAGCACCCTGCACGCCTTCTGGAGACACACAGGCTTGAGTGTAGCGTGGAAGTTGCGCATCTACAACGCGGTCTTCATCCCCATGATTGCCTATGGCATGGAGTCCGCAGCGCTCACCACAGCAGACCTCCACAGGATTGAGGCCTTCCACTCACAGTCACTCCGCAAGATCCAAAGGATCAAAGCCACCTACTACACCAAGGTTCTCACAGACAACCCCCACGCACAGACCATCCGCAACGAAGGAGTCAGAGCCCTTGCCGACCAGCCCCCACTCACACACCACATCCACAGGGCACAACTAAAGTTGTTTGGTCACGTTTTGAGAGCAACTCCGAGCAACCTGGAGCGAAACTGTGTTTTTACGAAGGCGTTTGTATATAGAGGGGGTACAGTACAGGCAGGCATACGGCCGGGACGTCGTAGACTTCACTGGGCCGAGCAGTGTGCCGAACTAGCATGGCACTGGCTCTCACATACCCCACATGCCATGACCTCCCTTTCCCCTAGTTTTCCTTTTGCCTTCCTTTTGCTTCACAGGCTGGCTGTTAACCGTCCGGCTTGGTCTCAGTTAGTGGGGCTGCCAACGTGCAAGAAGCTCCTCAGGTCTAGCGCTTTCTTTTCCTACTCACAGTGAGTACGCTGACTTGTGTCTGCTTTGCATAGGGCCGCCCAAAAAAAAATGCATTTCTGATAGTACCTGTAGCTTGTGCTCAAGCGTTCTTGATTTTTCGCCGCTTCGTAGTATTCTGTCATTCGACAATGCCTACGGAGGACAATCTCAATTTGTTCCCGAAGTCTTCGGGCCCTCCAGGACCAGTCAGCGGTTCGGTGGAGATGTATATTCGACGAAGAGTTGCTCAGGAGGTGAATCGGGCTTTGGCCCCACCCGACACACTCCCCGATTGGGCCCGACCTTCCGGAAGCGCTTCTGGACTCTTCCTCCTGCTCCTTCTTCTTCTCGTACTCCTGCTCCTCCTCAGGAACATGTCCATACGGCTATTCCCCGTGCCCCGGCTCCTCCTCCTTCGCCTTTTCTGACTCTTACTGAGGGAAGCGGATCTTCTGCTCAGTCTATTCATATTCATGATGAGAGGATGGCCAATCGGGTCATTGAAAGTTTATCTTCTCGCATGTTCGGAAATCAACGAACCAGATCCCGCAGCCCAGTGTTGAGCCCATGCCCGCCTCTGCCGAGACGACGCCAGCCAATCGAAGATCAGCCTGCAACTTCTGTAAGACTTGCCATTGCTGATGCTACTTCGGATACATGTGTCATTCCGGCTGGGCTGGACCTTCCTGCACCATCGGATGAATGGGTATGCATCCAGCCCAGCTCTGGATCGCCACTATGGGTACAGTTCCTTGAGACCTCGCATATGTTGGATCGCCCAGATGTGCAGCATGCGGTGTGGTCGCAGTTCTATTGTATCAAAACGGTGGCCGGCATGAATCTGTATGACTTTGACCCAACCACGTCTGCCAAGGACCAGAAAAAGCAATGGTATGATCTTGAACGATTGCTACTTCATTTCCGCTCGGCTATTATGAAGGACACCAATCGCATCAAAAGTGCAGCGGAGATTGTTGTTCCCGTGTTGCCGACCGGACCTTACGATCTTCAAGAGAGATGGATTGCTGCTATATTGGCCGGAGCAGACCACCACGCCAATTTCTCTTGGTCCGACGCTCATGGCTACTTTGCCATGGGACCGAATGCTAAAAAGCAAATTCAGAGCCTTGCCCGTTGTTTGTCATCGGTGTCCCGTCGACCTTCAGGCCGGCCGTGGATCGTATTGGTTGTTCCCAGGCACAGTGGACCCAGACACGGGACGTGCAGATTCTGGATCGCACGAAGCTCCTCTGGGAGTTTTTCTCATTTTGACGACGATGCTTCCGGACGACCCGGGCACTTGCTTTGCTGTGCCCTTTGTCCATAATACTGTACCGCAAGATCTGTCGTCGATCGTCAGTCAGCAGGTTATCCGGCCATCTTTCTTTGACCGGGCTGATCGCACATGGGTACCATCTACAGGATTCTACGGCCGAATGTCTTGGCCGAAACCTGCTATTCGGCTACCAAAGCTTGACGGATCCCAGCCGGAGCATTTGAATGCCATGCGGTCTTCGATGAATGGTGCTCGACGTTTCGGAGGGAAAGAAGTTGACACCAGGACATGCGCCGCCTTAGGATGGACCTTTGTGAGGCAACATACTCACTACAAGGCCGCTCATGCCTCTGATCAGACTTTCGGGCATCTCGGGGATTTGATTCACGGCCAGGACGGTCGTTGGATGTTTCGATCCAGCCGTAGTGTAGTGGCAGGATCCGCTGTCTTCTGGACATCGTGGGCACGTGATGCATAATCTCTTGTTTTCTCAGCCTTTCTGGTCTTCCGTTGATTCTGCAGTAGCTTTCTTTCAGCATCAACTCAGAGTGATTGCCTGCCCACATGTTGAGTGCTGCACTCCGCCGTGGACCGCATGACTGCAAAAACAGGTTGCCAAGACCCCTCGACCGTTCTCCTTGTGTTGCTAGTGCATTGTAGCATTGCGTTGATTGCATTGCAGTGAATTGCATTCCTATTCCTGCCTCTCCTGTCGAGTCAGTTGACAGCATGCCGGCCATTGCTCGTAGTCCTTTTGATTTAGATGCCGATGGTTTCCATTTTCAGACATTGGATGAACTGGCTGTCTGCTTATACCAGGTTCTTGATGGCATTCCTGGCCAAGTCTGGATGAATTACAATCGAAGAAGAGTAAGACCTGCAGGTCAATCTCACGCCGATTCCCTGGGCTTACAAAGTTGATTCTGCGAATGTTACATTATTCTCCTCAATTCTCAGACATGGCGATTACAAGTATTCAAATCAATCGTAATGTTCGCACCATTCCACATCGAGATTCCAACAGCCATGGTTCAAGTATTGGATGGGCCGTTGGCGATTGGACAGGTGGGGAATTATTCGTATTGGACGCCCGAGGTCACAGTATGTATACTGTGGAAGATTCCAATTGCTCTGTTGCGTCATGTGGTGATCGGATACCAGGCAGACTGTTGGATGTTAAACAACCTTGCAGCTTTGATGGCAACGTGATTCATGCGACTCTGCCCTTCACTGGAAATCGCATTATGATGGTCTTGTTTTGTGTTAAACAGCATGTTCCGGTTTCACCTGCATCCTCCTGTCTCTCTTTTGCTCGCTTCCTTGGTCTTCGCGTTCCGGTTTCTTCTTCCCCTGCTGCGTCGTTTCCTGCTTCTGCCCTCTCTTCCCCTCTTCTTTGCTTGCCTTCGTCGTCTGTTGGTCCGGCCTGTTCTTCTTCGTCGTTTGTTTCTCTGCGCGCTTCTCCTCGCCCGTCTGCTCGTCCCTTGCTCCCTCCTCCTCTTTCCCCTGCTTCTTCTGTTGCTTCCCTCGCTTCTTCGTCTGTCTCTTTGTGTTTCTTTCCCTCTTCTCCCGTCTCGTCCTGTTCGTCCCTTCCCGGTTCTTGGTCGTGTTCTTCCCCCTTCTCGTCTTCTTGTTCTGTTGT